TGGCGAGATTTGCGCTGGCGAAACGGAAAAGTACCAAAATCATTCCTGAACTAACCCAATTACATATACGTAATATGTAAAAACCACACATGTTCAATTTATTTACTCTTTACAAATCACAAATCTTTGTAATTCAAAGTTTACATTCGCCTCATGTGACTGTACACTGCTCAAAACCATGTACGTACTGTATCAATTTCATATTCGTACGCTGTACTAACTTCATATTCATTTCACAAACTGGACATTTATACAAGCTTGCAGTGAACATTTTCTCCACTCAATCATGGCTTTTTTTTACTTTTTTGCTCCATTTGGTTAAAAAAATCAAAATTCGACTTTTCGGAAGTGACAATATCAGGAATATTCATCAAAGAAATCCTTTCTTTGTTTCGAGTAATTATGATTATAAATTTTAAATCATTTGTTTAATATTTTCAGATGTTTGGGAAATCTTAATAATGCATTTTTTAGAGCTAACTTGTGTCAAATGTTAACAATAGCACACAACAAACAATAAAGTAGATTTATTTAAAAAAAAAAAAAAAAACTCATGCAATAACATTGTAAACTTAACATTTCAACTCGGTTAACATATAATTTAAATTTTCTTCAAATATGATGCTATAGCATAACTATAGCTTATTCCTAGAAAGAGGTATTATAGATGAGGTAGTCTCAGAAGCTCAAATCGGATGTATTACTTCCTTGTATGAAGTAAAAAGCAAAGATAAAAAAGAAGGATTGACTAATCGAAAGAAAAGTTTCAGGCAGCATATCAACAAATATCACAATATGACCTCTTTCAATGCAATTTATTATGATATAACGTGATATCTGATGTAAGGACAGAATAAAACACACTTTTCTCCAAAAAATTATAAACTGCTTTAAAATGAATCTGAGCGATTCAGGCATCTGTACGAACATACGTACTACGTATCTCGCCTAACTCAAAATGAGTAGCTCAAATTGAAATTATGCTAATAGGATGCTAAACATGTAGATGTGCACCTCGTTTTTGTGCACCGCCGCACCATCGTATATAAATATATTTATATATATATATCACTTGTACCCGCCAGTGGACTCAGTTTCTTACTCATGTGTTATAAATTGAATTTTTGCTTTAAAATTATTGAATTATGTTTTTTTTTTTTTTTTTTTTTTTTTTCTTCAGGTTAAGGATTTTGCCTTAGTAAATCTGTGGCAATATTTTAGAATTATCGCCTTTTAAGTGTTTAATGCCGCTAGCCTGTTTAATGGAGCCATTGATGTTTACATTTGAAACCGGAGACTAGTGGATTGTGCCAATTAGAGAAACTAGCTTCCAACAACAAAGATAACGCATTCATTATTATGCCAATAAATCATGCTTAATTTTCTGGAATTTTTCGAGGAAATACGCGTTTGAGATTTATTCTAATGTTAATATAGATATTTGAGTTTTTAGTATTTATTGCTTCTTGCGAAGTGAGATGAATTAATTAAATGCGAACTCAATCGTCTGTGAAAAACTGTTTCTGTTTTGTTTTTTGATTAATTTATTAAATAGTTTAGCTTTATTATATTTGAATAGAACATGTGGAAATTAATTCTTTAAATGATATAAATTTGTGCTTATGAGTATAATATGAACGAAAATAATATGTTAGGAAACCTAGCAGAGTGTCGCTTGGGAAACAAGTGAATTTAAGAAGGCTTTATTTATTGTGTTTATTCGTTGTCGGCGAAGTAGAGTTAATGCAATCTATAAGTTTAAGTGAAATGCAAGAAAAAATGCATATAATTTAAAATTCTGTACAAGGAAGTCATATGGTGCACACATCAGATTTTTATAAATTGACTTTAAGAGGTGTAGCCAATATTATGTCATAAAAAGGCATGCACAAGCCTAAGACAAGTAAACAACCTCTTGATTTTTGCAGCATTTTCAAGGATTGAGCCAGTAAGCTTTAATAATTTCTCAGATATTTTGTTTGTGGGAAGAATGTGCACTAGCTCACATGCACTGAAGCTGCAAAATTTCTTTTGTCTGTTACATTTGACCGGAATATTTTAAACTGAATAAAAAATTAATTAATTTTACTACTTTTGGTAGCTTGTTTATCATTACATTTGCTTTTTATTCATCTAAAAATTTGAAAGTATAGTGTAATGTGTTTAAATACATACTTGTATTTTTACAGAGAGCTGAATCAATTGCCGGTGCCCAGACTCCTCCTCAAGCAAATCCAGAAGACAGTACTGCAATTACATCTCCTCTCGTGTGTTCATCTGATGCTGGGAAAAGTAGTCATACACCTGCACGTAGTACTAGTGGAACTTCTCAGCCTCCTACACATGTTCCAGTTCCTACTTTGTATGTTTTTTTTCTCCCCTATGTTCTATCACCTGCTGTATATATTAATTTTTACATTGTTAAAATTGTAGTAAGTTTTTTTCTTTTTAAAGTATCTTCCATTTTATAGGACATAATATCTCTTTTAAAATTTCACAGCTATTTAGCTCTCTATACATATAGACCACTGAAAGAAGATGAATTGGAACTTCGGAAGGGTGAGTTGTACACTGTTAGTGAAAAGTGCCAAGATGGATGGTTCAAGGGAACTTCACTGAGAACAGGTCTTAGTGGAGTTTTTCCTGGAAATTATGTCCAAATTGCAAAGTAATTATTCCTTCCTCTGTATTGTATTTAATTTTAGCATATCAGTGAATTCATGCAATATTTGAAGTTGTATCTGATACAACTTTAAAAATTTTTATGGTACGAAAGGGTAACTTTTTTTGATGTTGACTATCTTACCACTGGAGCATATTTTTGATATTTTTCTCTTTCATATGTTTATATATAAATGTAATTACAAGCTAAGGGGGGAAAAAATACTGAAAAATTAAATAATTATTAGAAAGGGTTGATATCTTGGCTTAACAGTCATTTGTGATTCTTACAAAACATACCAAATTGTTTGCAAATTTCTTTTGCATTTTAATTAATGTGTGCTGTCCCCATCCTTTTTTTTAGATCTGCTGTGTTGCAACCGCACATAGGTGTGTCTGTTGCAGGGCGGACATCACCTGCATCTTCGTCTACTTCTCCTCCACCTTCAAGCAGTTCAGCATTACAGCAAAGAACAAGTTTTTCTGGTGTAACCACTGAAAATCCGCATTTATTTCATCCAATTTCTACACAAGGTGTTATCTATACAAATAGTCCCATTACTTTATGTGGAAGAGTGCCAGCCACTTCTACATCTCCTGTGTCACCTGCTCACCCCGCTGTTTTAGAATGGGCTCATAGTATTGCTGTGGCTGCACCATTACAAAGGTTATCCAGACCAGTAAGCTCAGTAGGAGCATTTTCTCCTGCTCTGTACAAATCAGAGGTAATTTTCGGTTTCTTTATAATCCTGCCATCCCAGATTAAAACGGTAATAATGAAACAGGCTTGATACTATATCTGATTAATAAAGCAGTTTTAAAGCAATTATTTCCTGTGGAAGTTCCCCTCCCCCCTCTAAAATTGGAAATTAAAGAATAAATTCATTTTCAGAATTTTAATAGTAAGGAAGTTTAGTAATATCAATTTAATAGTTACTATTACCCAAATAGTTAAAACACTCTGCTACTTTCATTCTCTGCAATAAATATTACATGAAATTATACAAATTTCTTATAGTTTTCTTCATTGCAGCATTTGCTAATTATATTGCTACTTTTTATTCCTTTAATATATGCTTTGGTTTCGATTTAAGAATTATTGCAAATTCAGGTGCTAAATATTTCTTTCTTTATTTTATTAAATTTTCACTCTGCTTCCATGAGATATATTGTTCTATGGTATGTAGGTATTTGAATACATATACCGCTGCACTAACAAATAGCTATAAAGCTAAAACTGTAACTAGATGTTATGATAACCAACACTTTAAAAATTGCTATTGTAACATTTTTATGTCCTGACTATTTAAAAATATATGTATTAATAGGAAAAAAAGACGTCTATCACAGGTAGCCAGCAGAGTCTCTTCACAATATGAGTTGCCTGTGTTAGTTATATTTGATACAATAGTACATGGGGAAAGTGACCAGACGTGATATACATGAATTTAAAAACCTAAGTGTCTTATTGATTGTATGTGACTGATGCAGCCCTTAACAACTCAGTGAAGTATTTTTAACGGCACATATGCAATATGTAATACACATACTGCTGTGTTCACAGCACAGCAGTATGTGTATTAAATATTACATGAAAGTGAGCACAGTCATGCAGCTGGAAAGCACAAATAGCAGTCGAATTCATGTTTTAAGTTTTAGTCTAGTGAATTTTTTTAGGCTAAGCTTGACCATGTTGAGAAGGAAGTTCTGCTCTCTAAGCCACAACTTTTATCTATATGGGGAGGAATCCAGCCATTGAAGTACTGTAGAGGATTTCCACTTTTGCTCGTAGCTGTGGCATGCTCTACTTCTGAGTAGAGCGTGTTAATCTGAATGTGTCATGCAGCTAAAAAGTACTTACACTTTAGCTGTGTAAGTACTTTTTAGTATGGGTCACTTTGGCAAGGTAGCATTTGTGAATTTCGTACATGAATAGAGACTACCTAAAGTAGTCTAGTTCCTGTCTGTTCAATCAACTGCTGTTGATAAAAGCTGTTAAAATCCACGGGCAAATGCAGGTTCTGTTATAATTTTTGTTAGAAAATAAGAAAAACGTTACCTTTTCATGAACTTCAGACTGTTGAATAGCTTGTGGTGATATATTAGCTGCAAAAAAAGATCTTCTTGGTCTAGATGAAACACAATTTATTCGCCTCCAGTGGAATGGTGTTTGAAAACCCGGGTACCTGGGCAAAAGCCCTACCCCTTGTAGAAAAGTTAAGAATTGCAAGTGATAAAAGCCAAATAACTGAGGGATTTACCTGTAATTATTTTTTAATTAAAACCTAATACGATACTTTTAATAGTTAATGGCATAAACTAAATAACTACTAGCATATAAATCGAATTTGAAAAAAAGTGCGAAAAGCCGTCGAGCTAGAGTGTGTAACTGTGAGAAATAAAACATAACAGGTAGTTTGAATCAAGTAACACTCTGAATCCTTGAGAAACACAGCAATTATAGGCTAAGACATGCAATTTATGAATACACAAGAAGCAACAATAAATACTAGGTAGTAATTAAAAACTAAATGAGGGTACAATTGGGTAACAGACAGTAGGGAATAGGTACCAAAGATGTAAACAACTATTGTAAACACCGAGTTAAAGAATATTTAATGCACTGAATTAAAGAATGTTTTGGGAAACATAGAACACAATTTACAACATCTGTAAATAAAGTAACATTAAACAAGGTGAGTAATTAATTATTATGCACAGCACCAAAAATGTCTTTGAACATTGAGAAAATAATAAATAACTTATCTATTGAGTTACTAGTAGCTTGTACTTTAGGTATTTTTGATGTGATTTTGACTAGAACTTCTCGGAGGGAGATTCCCTCAAACATTTTCCCCAACTCTCTGAGGAATTTGATAGTTTCTAAAGAGTCTCTATTATTGATGGCATGGTTAAACATAGGATTTCTAGCATGTAAGATTTTTGTAGCATCAGTGTACCTGGATAGTTTTCTTCACAGAATTATTATTAAAGCTAGGATTAACATTGCTATTTGACTGAACATTTTCTGAAGGCTTATTATATACATTGGCTACAAGAAATTTAGGACACTCGTGAAAATTTGCAGTGTGACCTATTTGATTACAGTTGCAGCAGCATACAGTTTCTAATTTTTTTGCAGAGAAATCTGCAGTTTTGTGGGGCCCAGCACATTTCACGCATCTGGGCTTTAATTTGCAGGTATCGGATGAATGATGGAAGTGCTAGCAGTTGTGACATTACACAACACTTTCATTTTCTATTATACTTTTTAACAGTGCCATAAAAATCCAAAAATTTAGCAATATCAGATATTCCCCCCCCAAGGGTGTTCTCACCTGAATTTGGAGTAAGGGCATGGGGACCCCTTTTTGATTCTATGCATACGTGCAACACATCTCATTTTGAATCCTAACATTAATTCGTCCGATATTTCTTCAATTGGGCAGTCGGTGGACAAGCCACAAAAGACTACTTTGACTGGTTTGTCATGTTTCATTAATATCACATAGTGATCGATTTTCTTCAAATCTAAGTAGTTAGTAATAATCCTGAGCTGGGAAAGTTCTTAAGGAAGTCCCAAATAAAATCTTACCCACTAATTCACATTTAGCTTCACTTCTTAAAACTTTCATAAAATCATTGAATTTAACATCAGGTTTGACTGTTATGGGTCTGGGTTTGGGCTTAGCTACATTAACAGCATTTTCAGAATCAATATTAATATCCATAGGATCATTTATAATTTGCACATTGTTTATCAGAAACATTAGTAGTTAATTTTTCAAATTTATTAGTAAGAGGAATTTCCACATTACAGTTAACAATTTTACTAGGTCTAGTAATAATTTTAGGGAGGATAAACCCTTCATTATCTTGAGCTTCATTCAGAACACATTTTGACACTTTTTTTTAACCTCGTCACGGTTTAGGTTTGCTAACATCAGAAATAACAACATTTGCATCACTAGCATTACCATTTAACATAGCACAGTCAATATTTACATTATTAGTACAGTCAAAAGTTGTTAATCCGGACTCGTCGGGACTTCGGCTATTCCGGATTATAGATCATCGGTTTAAATCTGGTAAAATGGCATGAAGAAATTATAAAATTAAAAATATGAAACTGTAATTTACGAAATAAAGAACAATTATGATCTAAAGTGTATCAAAATTTACAAAAAAAAAAGCTTAATATTTATTTGTTTACTTTGTAAGGATCTTAAGTTTTACTAACGTTTATTTTATTTTAAATCTTTACTATCACTTCTTATTTTCTACTTCAGGCCAGAATTATAAGCGTTAAGATTTTTATGCAAAGTTTGTCTGGCGAACGCCAAGTATTTAAGTTGTGTAAAACATCTGCCCTGAAAATAAGGATAGTGCTGACATCAACTTCCAATTCATTGCGCGCCCGCTGCGGCGTTAAAGATAAACAAATGTTAAAGTTTAGATAAACAAAGGATATGCCTTTATCCATTTTTTGCAACAATTCCACTTTTTGTTTAATGGAGTCCGAAACATACTTTCGCTTTGTAGATCCGTTACATATTAGTAAATATAAATCGGAAATTCTATTTGACATAATCGAAAGTTCAAGTTTTATAAGATTGCTCTAACAGTCTGCAAAAAATAATAAGCCGGATCCAATTCGAAGATTAAGGAACACCGCAATCTGCAACATTAACTGAAATATATAATTAGAGCTTGGCTTATACCGTCCAAACGCGCATTCATAAACGTATTTTGCGCACGCGCACACACAAATTCGCAGCCGTAAAGGTCTTACGCGACGCATGTGCAGAAAGTTTGTAGCTTTGAGGTCCGGATTATAGATCATTCCGGATTATGGGTGTCCGAATTAACGACTTTTGACTCTATTACAAGAAATTTAACTCATATGTTTCATAACTAGTATTTCATGATGAGTTAATTTAGCTTAGGAAGACATCATTGAACGACACCGCTACGGTGGTGCAGGAGGGCTCGTTTGGGATGGAATTATTCTGGGTTCCAGAACTGACCTGCATGTTCAAATTGGAACCATGACAAGCCAAATCTATCGGGATGTCATTCTGGAACAACATGTACATTTGCTTCGGGGCACCATGGGCACACAATTTGTGTTTATGGATAAAAATGCCCGTCCTCACCGTGCAAACATCGTAAGCGAATGCCTTCAATCGGAAGATATCACCCGTATGGACTGGCCAGCATTCTCACCGGACTTGAATCCAGTTGAGCACGTGTGAGATATGCTTGGCCGACAAGTTGCAGCCTGTCAACCTCCTCCTACATGTCTACCGGAACTTCGGAGAGCATTTGCTTTTTGAATGGTGTAATATCCCCCAAGATCAGAAAATAGGTGTTTTTTGCAATTTGCTCCAGGGAGAAAAAATTGCTAATTTTTTTAATAATATCAAACACATAGCATCTTTTTTTGCTCTTTACCTTTTGCTTAATAAATAAGCTTTACAAATAAGTCAAATTTGTTTTGCTTCTAACTCTTCCTTTTTCCTGATTTTGCATTATCCTTAATTTATGGACATGAGTGTAGTTGCCATAGCAAGAGGCTGCTTAAGACCAAGTTCCTTCGTGCTGCTCTTCAATAGGTAACTCTTTTGGGACACATGCTCTGACCCTCTTAATTTTCTTATTTTCTTTAATTAATATTTCTTGTGTTTTGAGGACTGCTTATTTTGAACATTTCTGATTTGTGAGTGTATTCTGCACATTTTTGGGGGGACTTACTTTTATTACTGGTTTCTTTTGTTTTCCCTATTTCAGTACAGAATAGCTCGATGTGAGGTTTTGAACAGATATCACAATGTTAGAGTACTTGTTATCCCTATTTTGAATTTTCTCTTTATCTTTTGGAGTAATACTTTCAAAGCCTGACCTGGCTAACTGTAATTTTTTTCACCCATGACCTCCCTTTTCAAAAAGTTCATTAGCAACTTTAAATTCGACTTCTTAAAACTCACATCACTACCAGGATCTTCCTTTACCTCAACATTGGTATCTTAACCCTTATTACATCTAGAGAACGCATGGCTAGGCAAAACATTTCTGAGAAGATTCTAATAGCATTGGTTTAAATGGAAGGGTTTCAAGAAAAACCAGCGCAGCTAGAGGCAATGTTCTGGCTATATGAAAAATTTTGAAACTTTGCCAAAAAATGTTTTGTTTGCAGCTGTGTCCCACATACAGATCAACCAATCAGACAAAAGTTTTGCTTTTAGAGGATCACAGGTAATTTTTAATTAAGCAATGACTGTAGTTTGATGTTGTGGGTGATAGAAATGGAAGCCGCTTTTATTGAAGAAATATGAAGAAACCTATAATTGTATTCTGTGTTTTTTGTAGTATAACCATCTAAGTCATTTTTAAAACATTTATATACTGATTAAATTTATAATTGGGAAATTTCAGATTAGACATTATTTTAGGACATTCCTGTTCATCTGAGCATTTGTTTACAGATTTTTTGTCACTAAAAGTTCGCTAAATTTTTTTTATTTTTTATAATGACCCATAGCATACCATGTAGAAATATCATCATTGTTGTATTAATAGAATTTTTTATTAAATTCAAGGTGAGTAATTTTTTAAAACCTTTTTATATATGCTCTACTTTACGTTTTTACTAATACTTACATTTAAATTGTTTGCTGCATAATCAGTGACATACTGTAAACAATATAAAAGGTGCTTTAAAAGGAAAGCAAAGCTTATATAATAATGAGAATACTCTTTCTATGCTATTAATGAAATACTTTTTAGGTTATAAATACATTAGAAACTATACTTTATTGTAAATGCTAGGTACTGAAACATTTCAAATTTATGGATTTGTTAGTATGCATGAAGAAAAACATTTGCATATATATTCTGTAATGTAAGTCTGATTCATTACATTAGTACTAATAAACATCCATCAGCAACTTCTAAACTATCCCATCTCTCTCACTCTCTATGTAAATATATGACTTATTAGTTGTGTATTTATATGTATATATGAATATAAAAATGAACATTGCCAAAAAGTTTATTTGAAGTCACTTCTAATTCATATAATGATCATGTAGTTGACAGCAACTATAATCATCAGTTCTTTGCATATTAGCCTGGCTGTGGAATTCACAGTTGAAAAATCATTTATGAGAATAGACATAAAAGAGAGTACTTTTATTTTTGGGGGGATAATTTATAATTATATCATATGTATGATTTACATAGTATAAGCATGACTTATGAGTAATAAAAAATGTAACAGCTATGCATTTATAAAACATTTGGTCACTTAAAACATACAGTGCAATTGATTATCACTTTGATATGTGTTTACTTATGATATTATACGGTATTTTCTCATTATCTGCAACTTCTGATTTCATTAACTAATTTTTTAAAAGCTTCTTGTGCTATTTTTACAAAACATGGTAATTTTTTGGCGTAATTTGAGCCATAGAATTGAAATATGGAAAACAATTGGTACGTTATTTCAGAAAAAGTCGAATTTTGCGTCAAAATACCTATATTAGAACAATGCTATATATAAATCTAATTCATATCCTAAGTCGCGCTTTCGAGGCATGAAAAACGTAAGTGGAATTTTGCCAATCGGCTCAGTACAACGGGAGATATAAAGCTGTCCCCCTCTTTCTTTATATATGGTATTTTCTCATTATCTGCAACTTCTGATTTCATTAACTAATTTTTTAAAAGCTTCTTGTGCTATTTTTACAAAACATGGTAATTTTTTGGCGTAATTTGAGCCATAGAATTGAAATATGGAAAACAATTGGTATGTTATTTCAGAAAAAGTTGAATTTTTGCATCAAAATACCTATATTAGAACAATGCTATATATAAATCTAATTCATATCCTAAGTCGCGCTTTCAAGGCATGAAAAACGCAAGTTGAATTTTGCCAATCGGCTCAGTACAACGGGAGATATAACGCTGTCCGCCTCTTTCTTTCTCTTCCCCCCTCCCCCGCAGTGTAACTTTCTATGGAACTTCAGTCATGTAAGCCTTTCAGTTATTTTGAGAAATGAAGAGAATTGAAAATTTCCCAGCTGCCAAGGGAAAATTATACAAGATCGAAAAGAGCACTAGTTCTCAGTTTTTTAGTTCGAAGTAGGTTTTGGAGCATTGAGAAATCTCCGTGCAAACTTGCTGTTCAGATGCTCTTTGCATTTTGTTACGTTTAACATTCTTACTAGTTTGAAGTGCTAACTACTCTTTATGCTTTGTTATACTGAGAAGCGCTATACGACTATTTTTGAGGAAAGTTTCAGAATCGTAAAGTGTTTGAGAAAATAAATGCTATCAAGCTATCATCGATTCAGTTGCCGTTCAATCCATTATGAACCAGTGCATACAAAACACTATTAACTAAAACCTTTAATTTCAATTTTTTTTATTTCGATTTTAGCATACAAAATCGAAATTTCAGCTTTATAACCTTTATTTTAAAAGAATCTTTTTCTAATTACGATTTCAAACATTACATGTTTTCATAAACAATGCATGTGAAGGGGCATGTTTCTTTTTTAATTTATCGATGTTTTATTATTACTCAGTTCTAATGCATATGTATTAACGATAACTGAATACTAAACGATAACAAATGTGTTCTGATACCTTAAGGAAACTCAAAATTCTAAATTCAGTAATGTTCTTTCAGAAAATTAAAATACACACTTTATGCAAAAACATAAAACTTTTACTGTATCTTTATTCAAGCTAAAAACATTAAACATCTACTTATATTCTGCATAAATATTAAAGTAATTTCATTAGACATCATACATCCTCAGAAAATAAACAAAATTTGAGTACTTCTGGTTTGCAAATCATGGATAACTATTATTTTCTTTAATTTTCTTTCTGGAACAGTACATCCTGTCATGAATGCTTAAAAAAAGTATATAATCAATTAACTGCTGTTGATAATTGGTTGTAAAATCCATTGACAAATGCAGGTTCTGTAATAAATTTTGTTAGAAAATAAGAAAAACTTATTACATTTTCTTGTTTGCAGGGACTGTTGATTAATTTGTGGTGGTGTCTTAGCTGGGGGTGGAAAGATTTTCATGTTCTAGATGAGATACAGTTTATTTTTCTGATATTATACATTTTTAAGGTACACATTACATAAAAAATGTTGAAAGGAAAAAAATATTTAGTTATTATTTCATGAGTACTATAGCACATTTTTTTTTATTTGTAGCTGTAAAAATAAACTGATGTCTCAGAATGCTTAACTTTGCCATTTCTTCATGCTTATGCTGAAACATAACTAACTTAACTGTTCAGCAAACGTGCGAGCAGGGTAAATTTGTCACTAGGACTCGTATAACCTCTGGTGCCAACTAGTGAGAGAAAGAAATGCTTTAAACTGAATTTATAAGAGGGAATTTTATGCACAAGTAGAGTATCTGAAATAGGCTGGTTGCCTGTTTGTTCACAGGCTTAAAGTAGTATGCTCTTGGAACCAGAAAATACTAGGTGCAGAATAAAAAAAATAGTAAATAGAAAGAATTTTGGATCATACTGTACTGAAGCTTAATAAATTGTCTTTTCCTTCCAAAATGTATTTCATGCTATAATGTCATGATCCTGTCTTATACCTATATATATATATGTGTGTGTGTGTGTGTGTGTGTGTATTTGTTGTAAAAGATGTGCTGTGTGAATTGGTATTTACAGATGGCTACAAAGCAGAATGGATTTCCTTGTGGCCAACCAAGATCAATGGCTATGCCTCCGTGGACTTCTGTTTGTGCAATAGATTTTAATTCATCTCCATCTTCATCTCAAATAGTTACAGATTTCCCAGTGAGGACTACCAGTGCCTCTCCAACGAGGATGCTTTCGTATCAAGCTTCCCCAAGCACTAGTATTGGTAATCTGAACCAGGGTGCAATTCCTGGAAATACCTCTTCAGAAAGTGGGGCTGTTCAACCAAGGTATAGTGCTTCTCAACCTTCTACACCTCTGATGATGCCTCATACTGCTCCTCCAAACACCAATCCATTTGTGACTTCTGATAGGGTTGGATGTTCACCACCTGTTACAAGTGTGTCTACTTGTCCATTATCTGCGCAAGCAACAAGCTCGCAAACAAGGATAGAAAAGGTATGAAGAATTTTTAATATTCTACCTTATGTGCCTAACTCCTCCAGTTCATGAACATAACATCAAAAGGGGGGATAAGACAATAGATATGTCTTATCAAAAATCACATGAATAAATGATAAATCCTTGAATTATGTGTGCTCCTTGATGGCGAATTACCTTCATGTATACTTAAATGTAAATCATACAAAATGGTCATAATGAATGGATTGGTAATTCAATCATAAAAATAAATTCCCATTATTATGTAAAGAATATATTCTGCTCTACCTGATGCTTAAGTATATTTTCTTCTAGTTATAGTCATTTTTAAGAAAAATAACTGCTTAATTTGGATAATGGAATAATAGGGAAAGCTAAACAATAGAAACACAAAATATGCTGCAGACTTATTAAATGTATCTTTGAAGTGTTTCTGAACCATAAAATAATATGGAAGAAAAGAAAATACTGCAAAATTTATTTTCCTTGGTGTAGAATCCCCCCCCCCCCCTCTGTGGAAGGGAAAAATCAAAATATCGGGTTTTAACGAAAGTTTCCCCTCCACCACAAATATTGTCTGCGCAAACAGTTTGTGTTGTTATTTTGTTTATTATTTTTTAAATTTGTTTAATCAAATTTTGTCAAACAATTTTTGGCATTAAGGAAAAAAAAAAAAAAAAAAAAGACTTGCTTTAGAAGACTGTTGTGAAATATGTAAGAAAATATTAAGTACAAGGTGTCTGAAATAGAATTATCACACCAGATTAGAACGATCATTTACTTTCAGTGCTATTGCAAAAAGTCAGCTACAGACTGTCACCAAATCGTGTATAACTTTAGGTACTAATCTAGTATCATATGAGACTGTGAAGGTTTGGTACCGAAAGTTCAAAAACAAGGAACTTGACATTAAAGTAGCAAAGCACTCTGGCCCGCTTACTGATGTTGATAAGGCCCACTTGCAAGAATTTGTGGAATAAGATCTGTATGCAACCACTCAGGAGCTTGCTAAGGAGTTAGATGTTAGTGCCATGTCCATTAGTTGGACTATGCATTGCATACAACTTCAGTCGCTGGTGCCGCATGAGCTGACTGAAGCATATAAGGATAGACATGTTCGGGCCTACACTAATCTGCTCGAATATCAACATAAGGACAAAATTCTGAACTGGATCATCATTCGTGATGAAAAGCTGATTTACTTCAACGATACAGGCTGAAAAGGGTCTTGGTCTGCACCCGGTGAGCCCGTCGGCAGTATCGCAAATCGCAATTTGACTAGCCAAAAGATCATGCTAGTCCGTGTTGATACTGCTATCGAGGAAAAACATCAAACTGCAAAAGGGTAATGTTCGATCAAAATAATGCAAGAACACATATGTCTACATTCACCAGCTGGAAATTGTACAGACTCGAATGGGATCTTTTGCCATAACTACCATATAGCCCCGACATCGTTTCTTCTGACTTTTACCTTTTTTCTCACTTGCAGTTACATCTTGCTTGTGCTATCTTCCATTTTGCACAAGACATTCGAAATGAAGTTGATCTGCTTTTGAACTCGTGACCACCAAGTTTCTGGGCCGAAGGCTTTGAAATCTACCAAAACGTCGGCAGAAAATTATAGAATTGCGTTGTGCTTACTACCCGCACCAAAGATACTGCTTTCATGTTACCCCCTAAATTTATCAAAAAAGTTTTTTGGCAGAAAATTTTAATTACATCCAGATATTTTTCAAATTTGTTGGATCTGTTTCAGTTTTATTAATAATAATGTTAAGATAGAAAAATATGCTGGAGGTAGGTTATTCATTAGCGAGTTAGATAGGGTAATAGTTGATTGCTAAATATGTTAAGTGGGAGTTAGAAGCAAGACAGCCTTCAAACTTTTGCTACTCAAGTATAGGGCATAAGAATAATGTAAAAACACCAGTGGTAAAAATAATGTAAATGTTTCTATGTTTATTTAAGTAAATGAGAGAAAGATATCCATAATTGAAGGTTTTAGCTCTGAATGTACATAAAGCTGATTTACTTCATATTTAATCTCATGAATGCTTCATATTCAAATAAACCGAAAGAATTGATTCTTGCTGACTAATGTCATGAATGCTAGAACTATTGATAATTAATATGTACCTTTTTATAGCTCTCCCTCATATCTCAAAAACTCTTACATTTGACCTTTTAGCGCACCCCCTCCTTCTCTTCTTTGTAATTCCTCAGAGTTCAAAGCCAATATCTAAAGTAATTATTCTTATTAAAATACATTTTGATGTCAACTGACTCTGGTATTAAAACTTTAATATATACAAAATCAGTAATATAGAATGATTAATATTTACTAATAAAATATTTATGTTTAGTAAGTAATAGTTGGCTTTGATTACTGTTTCTGGTTATATATTTGCCTTTGTCATTTATTTTCATGATGGGCAATAAGAAAAGCAGAAAGCATAAGAATAATGTAAAAACACCAGTGGTAAAAATAATGTAAATGTTTGTGTGTTTATTTAAGTAAATGAGAGAAAGATATCCATAATTGAAGTTTTTAGCTCTGAATGTACATAAAGCTGATTTACTTCATATTTAATCTCATGAATGCTTCATATGCCATATGGAGTGCTAAATATAAATAGGCCAAATTACCTTGTAACAACTGGGAGATTTTTTTTGGGGGGGGAGTATAGACATCAGTTTCAAGAGAGAAATAGTTTGACTTGATTAGGAGTATATTTCAACACATCAATGAAGTTTTCTTTCACACTTTTTCCCCCATTTCCAATATATTTATGACAGCCTCTTGTGTTTTTTCTGCCATAAGTTTTTTTGAGGGGCATGGCAATTAAACAAACACAGGAGCCTTCAAACTCAGGAATTCACTGTCACATATTGGAGCTATGGTGACTGCAAACAGTATTTCTGCTTTTAATATTTAACAGTATTCTGCACTAAAAACATAGGTAGGAGACAGTATGAAAAGACATTTAAATTCGGACATCGTAATAGGTGACACTCCAAGGACATTAACCCTCTTGCTGCATGTCCTGCAATTTCCATGGGCAACATAGAACTAGACAAATTTGCACAACCCGCTATTTCCTAGGGGATCTATTTCTTTCCGTCTATTTTAACTGTACAACCTGCTCTTTTCCCATTCATGCTTTCACTTCGACTTTTCGGTGATGTTTAATTATTTATTCAGATCTGGTTTAACAGATGGCATTAGTTTTCCATATTTCTCTGAAATATACAAGCATGCTTTGCACCATTTTGCATCTCTTTTCAAAAGCTCAAAGATGTCTGTAGTTAAACTCTCAATACCATGGGACTAAATGCTTGACATTTTGCTATCCATATATGTATATACCCCACCCAATCCCACCAAGAAAGAGCCTCATAGACAGTGTGCTGTTTGTAGCTAAAGAAAGGGGAGGAGGAGGAACGAAAAAAAAAAAAAAAAAACTGAAACTGGCAAAAAAAAAAAAAAAAAAAAAAAAATTTTTCAAACAAACATGAATTTGGTGCAAAGATTGCAAGGTAGGATTTTGCCTTGAGCCTTGTTTCGAAGTTTATCATACTAAACTTCATTTCTAATACTGTATTTGACAGCATATAAGACGCACTTTTTTTTCCTAAATTTGGTCTCAAAAAAGTTACCTGCGTCTTATACGTGAAGGACACAGGTTAACTTTCAATACTGAATGCTGTAAAGGTCTAGACACACATAACTTTTTCTACATCTGTCATAATTATTTTGCGCATGCGTAAAATATCTGTCGCCAAAAAGCGCCAAAGCTGAAAGCTGATGTCGAAGTTCGAACAGTTTCAACGGTCACATTACGTCTGTGGAGCCTTTCCTTCTGTACGTAGACTTTCTTTGACTCAGCCGACACATGTGTCGGTATTGGTGTTACTCTGTATAAACATGCCGGTATCGGTGCTTAAAATTATTTGTTTAAAAAGAATACACTGTAAAATATGACTACAGGAAACAAGAGATTAAGCTATACAATTCAGTATAAACTAGGAGTGTTAAACTACGCCAAAGTGCATGGAAACAGAGCAGCAGCAAGGCATTTTGGTCCACCACCTACTGAAAAAATGATACGTACTTGGTGACTGCAGGAAGATCAACTGAAGACTGCTAAAAAACAAAAACATAACCTTCGATGCCCAGCTCTATCTTTGCCTGAACTTGAAAATGCCGTAAAAATGTGGGTGATAGATAAGAGGAAATCTGGGATAAGTGTTTCAAACAAAATGATAACCAATGAGGCCAAAGGATTTGCAGAAAAACATGGGAATCAGAACTTTTCAGGGTCTGAGGGCTGGTGCTACAGGTTCATGAAAAGGCAAGGCTTATCAATACGTACAAAAACAACTATTGCACAGAAAATACCAGCAGATTATGAAGAAAAAATACTAGCATTTCATAGGTTTGTTATAAATGCACGCATGAAAACTTCTTTTGAGCTCGCCGAAATAGGAAATATGGATGAAATTCCACTCACATTTGATGTACCATCCAACAAGACTGTGAGTATTAAAGGTCTAAATCAATAACCATAAAAACCACAGGTCATGAAAAAACCCGGAATGCACGCGGTTCTAACATGTTGTGCTGATGGCACAAAACTACCGCCGTTTTTCATATTCAAAAGAAAAACTTCCAATGGGTGTAATTGTTCATATTCATCCAAAAGGCTGGATGGACGAAGCTGGAATGAAACTGTCATTACAGAATGTATGGGGTGAGGCGACCTGGTGGACTGTTAAGAAAACCCTCTCTTTTGGTTTGGGATCAGTTTAGCGCCCATAGAAGTGAAGTCTTAATAAAGAATAAAGCGAGAGAATTAAACACCCAGATAGCTGTCATTCCTGGTGACTAGCCAATTGCAGCCCTTTAGATGTATCGGTGAATAAGCCATTTAAGGAAAAAGTGCAAGAACGATGGAACAAGTGGATAGGAGAGCCACATCATGCCCTTACACCCTCATGAAGCCTAGAATGAAGCG